AGAGAGAGAGAGAGAGAGAGAGAGAGAGAGAGAGAGAGAGAGAGAGAGAGAGAGAGAGTCCCAACTTCTTGGCAAACATTCCATTTTTATTGGGGGCGTAGCCACAACAGGTCCCCTAGTGTGTTGAAAAGCCGATGTGGGGCTTGTCGGTCTGCTCTGCTCTTTTCTGGTCAACTCTGGTCTGACATAAAAGCGCAACTGTGATTTACTGTGAGAGAACTGGGTCCATGAATTGTCAGTACATTACACATCATCCTGACTTGTGTGGGGAGCCTCGTATATATCTTAATGAGCTTGCTGTGTAGCACAAGCCAGGGGAGGAGAGGCGTGAAGGGGCTGGGAGAGGATAACCATCCACAGGAAGAGGATGAGGACATGAGGGGGATGGGTTCCACAGTGAGGACAGGAAGGTGGGTGGTAGTAAGAATACTAAGGAGTGTGGTAGTAATAAGACTACTAAAAGGAGTAATAGGAGGAGGATGTTCCCAGGGTATGTGCCTATCCCACACACTGGTGTGATATCATGGGCTGTACTTTGTTTCAGACTATTGGAGTGTGAGCTCAACATCGAGACATTGAGTTGCTGGGGACACTCTTCTTTGAGCGTTTGTTCATTCTACCGGTTGATTCCCTCTCACCTGTCCTCCTCCTTGAACCCGTTGCTCGTCACTCTGTGTGTGTGTGTGTGTGTGTGTGTGTGTGTGTGTGTGTGTGAGAGAGAGAGAGAGAGAGAGAGGAAGGACGAGTGCTTGAAATAATTCTATCGACCTCTCTTCCTTCCCTAGCGATGGGTTGCCTCTTGTACATTCCACCGCATGCGTGCTAGAATCTGTTTGCTGTACCACCTCATGTGACAGTGCAAGCTCATAGAACCACACTTTGCAGGGTTTGATCACCTCGGACTAGATAAGTAAAAATCTTGTTTGCAAATTCCTTTTCTGGCCTTGGTTGTTTGCAGCTTGCTTTATGCATAACGAGAAAGATTGCGGAGGAGGCGCAGCAGTCTTCGAGGAATACTGAAAGCGTGGATGCGGTCTTGGATGATCGGACTCAAGTACAAAGTCATGGATATCAAGGCTCTCACTCACAGGGCTTGAAAGAGGAGGTGGACAATGACTTGATTACAAGGTTGGGAGATAGGAGAGCTGTCACTGGGAGGAGACCAGCAGATGGCTGGCATGACTCTATGGTGGGCGGGGTAACGATCAAGGGCCGTAGCAGCAGCAACGGGGGACGAACGGGTCTCCCTGGAGAAGTGGAGTCAAAGACAAAGGATGGGGGAGGTGGAGCAGGGATTGATGGTGAGGGATGGGAGGTTGATTTCAATGTACGTTTGTGCTCCTACCTCTGGCTGAATGATAGTGTGCCACCGAGGGTACGGTTCTGATTTTCCGCTTTGCCGCTCATCATCCATTTGTAGGATGCCACTCGTTTCGCTTCGCATATTCACAGTTCTTGCCATCATGTATGCAGACGAGTGTATGCCGGACCACTTGTATGGACAGGGGTGGATGCTGCTTTTTTTGGGGGGACTGTCGTCATTGACTGCGAGGGAGCTGATGGGTGGTTGGCTTATGCTCTCCTTGTTCACTAGGTTGTTGTCCCTGTAAGTGGTTTGCTTTTGTGACCTATTTAACTCTTGATTTTGCAGGTTTGTGACATGACACAGGTTATACTATGCCGCTATAGTATTTTCAAAACTTTTGGCAGTATTTCCATTGGGCAGAACCTCAGTTTATTGTTTAATCTCACAGAAACCCATGCATAGGGCCTCGCCACACCACTGTCGAATTACGTTTTTTCGATAGTTTTGCATCGCCACACATCCTATTGGAAAAGGAGACTTCGAAATTCTTCGATGGGTGTCAGAAATTGGAATTCCATAGCCCTATCGAACCAACTGCGAACGTCCGCCTGCAATGGCCTTTTTTCGATAGCCTCTTTTCCGGACCATCGAAAAATCGCCCACGCTCACGCTAGCCGCCACAACCCTCACACTGACGAGCGTCAGTTTTTTTTTTTTTTTTTCGATAGTCGAGTAGTGAATTTCCAGAGGGCAGCAACGCTTGTGGTCCGGAAACCCGCCAGACGCAATTCGGCAAACAATTCATCAGGAGAGGCGCCGTCGCCACACAGCACTGTCGAAAGTGGACCTGGAATGGAGAACATTCGACACTCCACCTATTTGACAGTGCTGTTTGGCGACAGGGGGGGGGTCTATTGAATTCCGGACTATTGAAAATTTCTGACAAACATCATTCGATAGTGGTGTGGTGAGCCCCATCCTCCCACCCATATGATAAAAATCGCTTTATTCCAAACAAATGATTTCATCCAATGTTATACTGGAGACTTTCACTGACAGAGGGTGATGGAGGGTGATGGCCAAGGTGAGACGAATGGGGTGACAGCTCCAACCCTTGTCCGGCCTGTGGACACTTGCTCGCATCAACTGATCAAACCTCTAGAGAGCTCCATGGGCTAGCATAAGTCACGGTTGGTTTCATGTGTCACAGCCAATAGTCACCGTGTCAGAGTTACGAGCTTGGGTCAGAAAACTATGGTCTTCACCCGAATAGAATGGCCGGTCATTATCGCTGCATCTGGACAGAAAGTCGTGCGAAATACAGGTATAATGACTGGGCGTTCTATTCAGGTGAATACGGTAGCACCGCTTCGGAATAGAATGCAGCCCCCTTAGGGTCTTGAGTCCCATGCAAGGCTAAATAGTAAATACATGCAAGGGACCAATATCGAATAAGTGCCGTGAGGGAAGGATGAAAAGAGCTTTGAGAAGAGAGAAGAAAAAGAAGAGAAAAAAAGAGAACAGATCCACTGAATTGAGGAGGGGGGGGGAGAGAGAGAATAGCATGAAAAGGGTGGAATGCTGCTTTTTTCAAAAAGTTTTGCTTGCCGGTGAGAAGCAACCGGACTGATGCCCACCAGAATAGAAGGGGCTGGGAGTTATATATTAAAAAAAAAGAAGATAAGAAGCAGGCGGGGCTGCTATGGCAACTGTACAACTTGGCGATACCCACAGCGCAATGGTTGGCAAGCAAAGAGCTAACACAAGGATGTGCAGCGCACTGCGGGCAAGTGGAGATGATAGCCTCTTTATTCTTGAGATGCCCGATTGTCCGGGCTTTCTGGGAATGGTGGGCGCAAGAGGTAGCAGATAAAACCCCGCTGGACGTCACGTAAACGGATGATGCAACCATCCTCCTAGGGGCGCGGATAAAAGCGGACAGGGCAAAACAGGAGGAATTGATAGCGGCCGGAATCGTACGTGCGGCAGTGCTATGGGCAATATGGATATGGACCCTGCATGATGAGCAATGCAGACAGGGAGCTTTCCCCCCCCCCCCGCTGCAGGCGTATCTGGGCAGGGCACTGAAGAACATTAGAGTGGCCCTCCTGGCAGATCTGCATCGATGCAGAAGCACAGGAGGACAGATGAAGGAAACTCTCTGGGCAAGATGGGCCCCGTACGTGCAACTGCTCACTCGTGACCCGTGTACAGGGCACATGAGGTTTGGCCCACCTCTGACGCGCCAAGTGCCGGACGCTGAAATGGATGAAGAACAGGAATAGGGTGATGGAACACCATGCACAGCAACCGATTCGTGCTATAGCTAGGAAGTGTCCGAGGATCACCGCGTGGATCAATAGGTGGATTGATAGGTGTAGTATAGTAGGATAGGTGGGTCGATAGGTGGAGGGATAGGTATGGCGGTGGGTGCTTTAGAGGGTAAGTGGGAGAGGGCGGGGAGTGGGGCTAGGAGGGGAAGGGTAAGGGGGTAAAATCGCACAAACACGCACAAAAAGAGCGAAGGGGGCCAAGGTAACAATACAAACACGCATGCTGGGGTCAACACAGGAGAGCTGCAGCAGAGACTGCAGGGCTAGAGGATGGACTATAGGATGGGTAGAGAGGGGGATAGGGTGGACATGAAGGCAAACAAGGCTACATAGGGTGACACAAGGATAAGTGGATATGGAGTGGTAACCGGGTGTAATGCGATTATACAAGGAAGGAACACGCAGCAAAATGGCTGCAACGGAAGCGGAAAAGGGTAGATAGGCGTACTTCCAGTGAAGCAGTGAGAAGGGTGGCAGTGGTCACATAGGCGGCAGAGATAGGAAAATAGCAGGATAAAAGGCGGCCTGAGGAACTGCCACAGACGCCCCCCCGCCGTGCCCGGCCTTTCCGGAGTGTGACCTGCTGCGTGACTGGGTGCTGCTAGTAAGCCTCCCAGCCTGCAGGCCAACCCCCTAGGAAAGGCCAAGGCCTGGGGGGAGGGGTGTTCTGTAGCAGTTCCCCCCCTTGCCAGGGGTCTAGAACCACAAGGATTGGGCTGTTTCTCTTTCTTCGTCTCTTCTTTTCCCCTGCTCTCTCTGTTGGATGTAAAAGACTTGGCTGCCGGTGATAAGCAACCGGACTGTTGGCCCCCAGAATAGAAGGGGCTTTGTTTTTTTTTTGTAAAAAAAAGAAGAAAAAAAGAAGAAAAAAAGAAAAACCAGACTGTTTGTGCGTTAAAGGTTTCTGGAAATGGGACAGCGATTTCGAGAAATGGGACTGTGTCCTTCTATTCTTTTTAGTCTCTTTTTCCAGAAATGGGACTTGTTTTTAATGCACTGTGTCCTATGAAACTCACTGGGTGGACACAGTGGACTTCTATGTAGTCTCTTTTTAGTCTCTTTGCTGGCTGGTTCCAAGCAAGATAAGCCATACCCAGTGGAAGCTTTCATAGGACACAGTGTGTTAAAGGTTTCTGGAAATGGGACTGCTTGTGCACAGGGATATTTTTTATGTAGTTGTGGACTTCGAAAATGGGCTCTAAACTTCTAAAGTTGTATTAGCCCTAATTGGAGCTGGAGGTTCCTTGATGTCTATGTTCCCGCGGCAGCTTTCTACCTTCTGTGGGCGACAGTGAAATCTTGAGAAAGACTGAAAATGAGATGGCCCTCATCCAACATTGAACATAGTTCTGCTCCTTTGCACAGTTTGCTTTTAGTTGTGCATGTTTGAAGGCAGAACGTGAACCAAGACGACACTGGGCAAAAGAGAGTGCATCTCTGAACGCACACGTGTGTGTGTGCGTACATGTCTATGTGTGTGTGCATTTGTGCATGCATGTGTGTGTGTGTGTGTGTGTGTGTGAGAGAGAGAGAGAGAGAGAGAGAGAGAGAGAGAGGCTGGGTGGAGAGGTTTGCATCAGGAAGTGTGAATACGTGCTAACGGTTGTTGTATGATGAATTCAGAGTTCTAAGGTTTATAGTTTCTGTGGGTCACACCCATAACCATAGCAGTCAAGCCAACAATGATGTCACGAAAAGGCCAAGTTGAGGATTGCTTTGCTATCTACTGCCTGACATCCACACATAATGTTGTTTGAACTTTGAAACAGGTAGCTGTCCATCTGTCAATGGTCTGTGGCACAACTAAGCATACGTGTGTTGTCTTCATCAGTTGTCTTCTGCAGTTGATGTCAACAACTGCCTCATTACAGGATAGCTGATACCAATCTCGTGCAAGTTGGTAGCAGTTGCTTCCAAATCTGATACGCATTTGTCAATGCTTGACAACTTGGGGGCCTAATCTCTCTCTCTCTCTCTCTCTCTCTCTCTCTCTCTCTCTCTCTCTCTCTCTCTCTCTCTCTCTTCTGTGTCTTTTATGCACAGGATCTGGAGGAACTGATTGAGGAGGAGGAACGGAAAAACGGGCCGCGCAGAGCCGTTGGCAAGAGCAAGGAGGATAGCGACAGCTCAAGTACAAAGTATGAAAGTTGTTCAGATGCTGAAAGGTTAGCTTTGTCCTACGTGAAGGGTTCTTGGTACTCTTCTTAAGCAATTTTGCTGAAACGGTCTTGGAACTCAGACTCTGGACATTCAATGCTCACACGACAGTTTGGTGCACAGTGTTCGTATACTGGATGTTCAGTGGTCTGCAGGGATGAAATCCAAAGTCGAAACAAACGTATTTTGTCGGTTTTGTCCAGGATTCTCAAGAAAACTATGAAGGTTTGTGGTGTGGAGTTGCTGTACAGAGTTACGAACTCTCACGGTCCTTGAGAAATGAAATCGGAAACCGACAGAGGAAAGAAGGACGGGATTGTTGTGCGCCCCCTCCCACCCACTGCGACATTGTCATCTCCATTATGTGTGCATTGCTTGTATTTATGTGGTTTCCACATCGAGTCTGCGTGTTGTAACTCGTCTCTGCTCGAGCAGTGGTGTAGGTGACTGTTGGAAATAACAGTAGCCTGGAAAGGGGAGAAGACAGGTCGGCGATGTTTGGTTTTTCACCGGTGGTTGGTTTTGGTTGTACCTGTTTCATTTTTCTTTCATGACAATGTGATTTTCAGTCAGTCTGAGGAGAACAGTGGGGTGGTGATTCGTTCTGCAATTCAGCGAAAGGGTAATTCGACTGCGATATCTAGGTCGCCCAACTCGACTTCGATTTCTAGGTCGCCGTCTTCCCGCGGTTCATCGAGAAGCGGCAGTCCCCCGAGGTTGCGGACCGGGTCTATCGTGGAGGCAAGACAGAGAGTTGGTGGACTCGGCAAAAATGAGTGGAAAAGAAGGGGTGCCCTACGTCCAGCTGGAGACCTCAAATTACGCAATTTCCCTGTGCAGATGTATGTACCCATTACCCAGGTCAGTCAGAGCAATGTGAGCTTCCGTTTTAAGTGTTCAATTAAGTAAATGTTTCTTTCCCATTTTTAAAAAAAATCCCTACACTATAGAAATTGCTAATCCCGCAGTATGTAACAAATCGCCGATCTGGGCCGTCGTCGGTCCTACCGGCCCACGGCCCAGATCAATTGTGCGATGTAACAAATGTAACATCTGGGCCGTCGGGACCTTTCGGATTGACGGTCGCGATCGGCACGCAGTCTTACGATCTAAAAACTGCGCGCCGATCGGGATTGTCAATCCGAAAGGTCCCGACGGCCCAGATGTTACAACCGGTTTGCCTTTGCCCACGGGAACCGGTTTGCGCGTTGGAAAAGCAGCCTAGCCCACGGCAACCGGTTTGCCCGTGTGGGAAGGCTTCTTTCCCAACGGGCAAACCGGTTCCCGTGGGCTGGCCGTGTTACCTCACTGTGCGCAGACCGTTTTGTCACAGTCGTATGTCGCGTAGCTGTGAATTGCAGCGGCCAGATCGTGCGAGTTGTCGTCAAGCTCTCTCTCTCTCTCTCTCTCTCTCTCTCTCTCTCTCTCTCTCTCACGCACACACACACACACACACACACACACACACACACACACACACGTCCAGTTGTGGGCTGTCGTGAGCTGTGGTGAGCAGCGGGCAGTGGTGGGCTGTGGTGAGCAGCGGTGGCCCTTGGCTGGGCAGTTGTGGACATCGCAAGAAATGGGGGACGCCAACACAGGTGAGTCGTCAAGCTCTCTCTCTCTCTCTCTCA